CAAAACATGTGCATTCCAAATGTTATTTCATTTTAAAATGACTTATATTCTGTTGTGTTACAATTCGGTATGAGTAATATCAAATATCGTTTATTCGAATGCAGTCGATTCAATTTCTTCTTCTGTCTGGTATTCATAAATGTGAACATAGCATAACTTTCTCAATTAACCATGCATCGACGGGATGTGATCCTTTAATTTCGTTATCATTGGAAGAATTAACCAAATAAAAGTTACGCAAATTTTATAAACATTCTTATTCCTCGAGTAGTTCTCGAGGAGTTTTGTAGTTCCTGATAAGTTTTAACAATAGTGGTGCTACGTAACGTCGTTAAAATACGAATTTTCGAAAAATTGAGGTGCTATATGGGTGTCAGCTTTCCAGCACCGCAATTTTGACATTTAGTTTACAGGTAAGTGATACAAATACCTGCACAAACAGTTAGTATATCAATAGAGTTTTTTAATTTAAACTTATGTCGTTTGCAGAAATTTCCTAATGGTGTTGGAGTTTGCTATGTTTTGGGATGCTCTTCCGGGGTTAATATGCCCAGTCCTAAGTGTCCGAAAAATCCTGAACAGAAAGGGACCAGAAAAAAAGGGTCACCAAAAATTGACGATGATTTATTAAAAAATGCTGCATCAGAAAAGCACATAGGTATAACAGAAATATTCTTTATAATCTCATTCGATTCATTTGCTCTCTTTATTCGATGCTTTGAGCTATACGAACCATTCCTTTGTCACGCATTTTGTTTATGAAACTTGGCGTGATTCCATGAGTTCTTTTTTCCTTAATGTTCGCACAATTATTTTCATTGCAATTAGAAGACAATCTCGTTACCTGTTCGCAGGACTGAAACAATAAGCCTTATAACTAATTACGACTAAAATTATACAACTAAAAATATTGTCTATAATAATTAAATGTGATGCTTATATATTGAATTATCTTAGGGCTAATCAATTCTTTTATACATTAAGTATAATCCACTTTTTTAATTTATATTTCCTTGTATAGATGTTATTAATCATTTTTAGTTCCGTAGGAAGACTATTAAATAAGATAA